AAAGTATAAGCTAGATATTTCTAATTACTTTTCTATACAACGCGAGGAAGGAAATGTTGACTCTTTCGACGAACCCATATTGATCTATATGTTCTTTTATGATACAAAAAAATATTCAACGAGAAGAGAAAAAAAGCTTTGAATTTAATTCTCGATCGATCCAGAGTCAATCGAATAACGATTTTTGTTTTTTTTCTGAATAAAATCATAATCTGAAAGTACGTGATTTCATTTAAAATATTATCGTATTGGATAGTAATAAAAATAATACGATAAAGATATCAAAGAGAAGAGTTATAATATCGTAATCGTTTGTAAACGTCAATGACCATCGTTACGATTTCGACAACAATTTTGCCGCTGCTCCTACCATTTGCCAACATTCACGAAAATACGATCGATTATTTACGGCCGCAATTTAATTAATTAACGGCAGCCGCGGTAATCGACGGTTATACGCGCGCAACTATCAACATGAAATATCGTAGATCAAGTATTTCGGCACATTCATACGCGTCGAGTACGACGGCAGGTTATAAATTCTTAATGAATGAGCCAACAATCGAACGGATTTTTCTATATTATTATTATTATTATTTTCTTCCCACATATAGATATGAAAAAAAGGTTATCTGATGATTATATTTAGATGACAGCAATAGACTGAAAATATTTTGTAGATTACTGATATCTTCATTTATATTTGTTGTTCCTTTTATCTTTTACGAGCTTTTCTAGGACAATCTTCTTCTAACACGGTCCTTTCTATATTTTTATAATTACACTTCGTCTCTGTCGACAATCGTCATGATTGTATCCTTATGATCCTTTGACCTTTTGACGTAGGAAAGATTAAAGAAATCGAAGGATTCGAGAAAAGAACATTTCTGTTTCTCCTACTAGTCTGTTCGGTTCGTAATAAGAGAGTGAAAAGAACAAGAACTAGGACGTCATGAAAGATCGATGCATTTGTGGATAAAGAGTAAAGATTGCGTTTGACCTAAAATTCTTATATTAGGATGCTTTAGGTTAATTATATAAAAAGAAAATAATCGAAGATAAAGGAGAGAAAAAAAAATATTTAATAGAACAACAACAACAACAACGATGACGAAATAGTAATTGATTCAATTTACTATTAATCAGAGTTGAAACGTTTTGCAATAAACTAAATAAACATGAATTCGGGATGATTTATGAATCATCCACTTGTTAAGCGAAAGCTTCTCCGCACTTCCTTCTCCCCCATTTTATTGTTAACACCGTTCTCCGCGAATAGTAAAACCAGGAGAAGAGAAAGTTGGAAGTTGTGTAAAATGGGGTGAATATGACAGGGGTGGATGGTCGGGTAGCCTAAGGCGACAATTACTTGTAATACCGTCGGTCTCTCGAGGCCGATGAGAACTCGATGGGGCGTACTTTCGTTCCAACGAAAGAAAAAAAGGATATTATTGGTATCTAGGAGCAGCAATAGGGCATACACGAGTCCCTATCTACGTTAGCAGAGGAAAAAAGGGAAGGGACCCAACCCTGACGCAACCCCTCGTCTTATCGTCAATTCGACGTTACCCGATCACCCGAACAGATCTTATACCCTTCGATTTCGGTTAGATTGAACGTCAGGATAATTGGGACAATCGGACGAACAGTCTCGATTCGAACCTGACAAGGGAAGTTCGTGAAACGAGACCATTTTCAACGACTAATCTCGAGTAACTGTAATCCTCATAGTTTCAACCAATTCTATTCTATGGGAAAATTATTAAACGTGTATATAGAATATATTGTATTTCATATTCGTATATAGAGGATGTTTCACGTAACTAGTTTCCTTCATTTTTAATCATATGAAAATTCTTTATGAGACATACTTTGATATAAAAGAAAGATATATGTCGTGGAGAAAAACATTTTCTTCTAAGGTCGTCTTTTATGGATTTTGTTTCAAAGCGTGTATTTTGTTATATTGTATCTTGTAGCGAATAAAATTGTAAGATAAACAAGCCTTACTTGATTCACGAGCGTCATTGATTCGTGACGCTATTCGATAATTGCGTCAACAAAAAAAAGGTTTCTTTTTACGCTACTCTTTCCACCAATCAAAGTTATCTCAAACATATTGCATATCATTAAAAATAAAGAAAATATTTTGGTAATTTCCATCAGCTGGGAAACTCTGTTAAGTAAAGTCTAAAAGAATCAAGAAATAACAGAGTAAATGATTGTATAAAACAACATTACAAATATTTGCGCCTCGTATATAGTTAAAAACTATCTATATATTATAATTATATCTACAACTTTTGATTACGTTAACTTTATCATTTGATAAACAGAATAATTAAATGTATAAAAGTATTATATTTGTTGGCGTACTCTAAAAATTGGAATATCTCGTAAAATCAAACTGTTCGGAATTAAGTCGGAATAAAAGAAAAATAATAAATTGTTGTTCACGGAAGCATCGAACGACTTGTATAGATGACCAGATTATCAATACATAACAAGATTATTCGAGATTGTCTTTATCGATAAGAAGAGAAAGATAACAACAAGGAGAAACAGCAATGGTGAGTCAGACATTGCGGAGGGTACGGATGGAACGTAAATTACCACACGCGACAAGAAGTTTTCGTGAACAGAGATGAACGGATAGACAAACGATACGGCATGTGTAATTGGGGTTGCGACCCTGTTACGCGAATGGACACGTCCAACTATCAGATATATAGTTCCACGCTGGCAAATCTCATCCACACTCCAATTTGATTTGCCTATTTGTATATCAATTTCGATAAATTTTCTCCGTGACAAGTTGGTTTATCTGGCAATATTTTAATACGTAATGTATTTGCTTATTAGATATTTCCAATTTTTACAATATTCTGTATCTATGTGCTATGGAACGAACGATATTCGACGATTTTCAAGGATTTAAGGATTATATGTCACGTATTATACAATACATATATAGGTACGTGATTATTCATGACAATTGTATACCATATTTTACGTACAAACATTAGTTAAATTTAGTTTAATCAATAGTATGATTATATTATGGTATAATTACACCGAATATATCTGTTTTATTATTTAACGAATATATTCCATTTGCCGGAGCCTGTATGACAGTGTTTTCTAAATTTTTAGTTAACTTTATGACCTTATTATTCGGCACCAGTTAATTAGATATAACTAACAAACTTTTAATTATTTAAATCATGTAACCTTCGGCCAACTCGTTTATTAATTGAGACAATCCGAGTTAAAAATTGAAAAATTAATGGAAACAAATGATAAGCAAGAAATGCGAATAAATTAAAGGTAACTTACGTGCGTTTATTAGGAACTCTTCCGAAATACACGCTGGTTACTATATATTTTACAATTTGTCGTTTGAAAAATGATACGCGTTATTTTAATTTCCTGCATTAATACTCGAAGAGTTCAAACGAGCTTGATGACGTCGAGGGACATTCAGTTTCCTATTTTCCTGTCACAATAAATATATAATATTTATGCACATTTTATGTTAATCCAAACAAAATAGGCAATATATTTGTAAATGGTAATATATTGTACACGTATTGTTACGAGCTTCGTTTGTTGGTTTATTTTATATAATCGCTATTAATTATTATTATTATTATTACGATTTATAATGTTTCAATAAAACGTTTCAACATTTGCTCATTGACATGAAATATAATTGTAAAATTTGATGGAACATTTATTAAAGAGAAATTCGCGAACGATAGATTTTCAAGGATTCGACTCGACGAATTGAAACATTTTTTTTTTATTAGCTCGACACGGTAGGAAACAATCGGATTCATAATGGGATGCAAATTGTGCCGTTCAAAGGCGAATGAAATTATTGAGAAACGTCGGTGCATTCGGTCGTATACGAAAATCGCATACAGATACGCGTCCTTGCATTTTCCTCGTCATTCAATCCTACCTCCAGATTTTTACACTTTACATTCCTATACTTGCGTGTAAATTTATAAGACGATCGCGACATTATTCCATAATCGTAAAAATTCGCAATGAAATTTTTTTCAATTTATATCGAATAACGAATAATTGTCGCAATTATTTTTATATGTACGTTTGTGGCGAATGTCAGGTTTTATGTCAGGGTCAGAGTATCCAAAAATGATTAGAATTTGAAAGAAGAAAAAAAAGAGAACCGCGTAACTCATGACTTCCTTGTCAGGAGGTGGTTGGAGTGTTTTATTGGGTGAGTTCGGTTTCCTTGGTGACTAAAGGGGGAAAGTAAAATCGAGGCACGGACTGCCACTCTCTCATCGCTTGTTTGTATTTCATATTGATAGAGTATTGATATAGTCCTCGACCGAGGTCTCCACCCTCTCTCTTTCGTCGAACACCCTCTTGCTAAACTACCATGACAATGCCTTAGAGCCCTCTATACGCGTTTCTCTACGTATATACATATATCTACATATGTATGAGTATATAGTAGCGTACATTTAAACGAGCATACCATGACTTAACACTTAAAGGACCACCATTATCTCTCTTCATTTGATTCAACTGACCAAGCGAATATTTTAACATTTCTATGTATGCGCGTATCTATTAAAACATGTGTATTCGTAACGGTGTATACAATAACACTTACTTTAACTTTTTTAAATGATCTAGCGTAAAACGTTAGTACGTTATATGAATAATGTTAATGACGTATAATAAGAATAATTTGAATATACCACAATATACCTATAATCTAAAATAAATAATGGTGATTTTGTAAAACACATTGGCCGACGATCGTACTTTAAATATTTATATTTTAATTGTTAACTTTACATAGGTCATCGACATTTATTTTTTTCACCTTGTTCATTATTCTGTTCGAGCCTATAATGGAAAAAGTATTTCTTAAGAGCATTCCTTTTGTCCTGGACGATAAAGTTTGACAAGATACATCGAAAGGGGAAAGAATAATGAAAAAAAAATCCATGCGTACATACCGGGTGGCCGGCTAGACTCTGCCAGGAAAATTCAAGATCTGCTATATTCGCTGGCACCGGAACGACAAAATTCATGGCGTACGCGTTGACCACCCCCTCTCTGACGTAGTATAATTCTGCCTCGAGTCCTGAAAGCAAAATATGCCAGAGAACGGATATCGATCGGACGATCAATTATGAAAAAGGCATAGGCCGGTGGCCGATGGGCAATGGCCGATGGCCGATGCGAGGGCAAAGTTCTTCTTCTTTCTATCGACTAACTTTTCCCTACCGTTACTACTACTACTACTACTAATCTTACTTCTTTAGCAAAAGAAAAACGACCTATCACGAACTATGCCACGTGCACCCCTTACCAAGGTACATACGTTTAAAAGGACGATGACCAGCAGGGTGCATAATTCAAACTTGTCTAAAATCATTTTATTTGTAACAAAAAAACATAATTTATTATTATTATACTTGTACGAGACTTAATGCAACTTTCAAGTATTTTCCTATACTTTTTCTATTTGTCTGTGTCTATATAATAATATTGTAGAAGGATATCACCTAAATCTAACATTTCGAACATCATTTCTTTTCTTCCTACATATCGTAAAAAGCAACTACTGATGGTTATTATCATCGCGTTTAACGGATCGTGAAATTGTATATCTGGAAGAGTTACCCAACGCACGAAATATCATGGATATTCGGCAGAGAGATTTTCAATTTCAAATCTACGAGAAAAATAATATATACAAGCCATTAAAACAAATCATGACACTAGAGAAACTACTTCGTTTTAATATTCAACTTGAATTTATATTGCAAAAGTATTGGAACCTTCGTTAATTTCTAATTGAATTCAACGTATTTTATCATATCTCGAATAAAAGAAATATTTTTGTATAAATCTTTCATTCGAGATGTTATACGGTTTGTTAAATTTTACTACACGTAATGAATAAAAAGAAAGGCTAAGAATTAGACAAGTAAAAAGAAAGAGAGAGAGAGAAAGAGAGTAAAGAAAAACTAAAATATTTCCGTATCTATTTCATATTTATTTTCTTCCTTCCTTCGTAGGATCTTTCCCATGGTGGTGTACGTGGATCATCGTCTTTAAAATCCCTTTTTCGTGAATTTGAGAGCTACTTGTACGCGAATACTACACGTTTTTATCTACTATCATAGTAGACATTCCCAACATTTCTTTCCACCCTTGAAAATTCCGCAGATAGATAAAACGAATAAGGTCAGAATTTCCTCAGCTCGATCTCAGCGTCATTTGTGTCTATCTTCACGTATGACTACGCAATTCGATATCTAGTTCGTGAACGATATCCAGAGATGTTTCCTCTAATAAATATATTTATATATACAAATATAAAAATATCTAGCATGTATATAGGTTTACCTGTGCTTTACTTAGACGTATATTACAAATATGTAAGAAACATATGCGACGACATAACCGTGACAACGTTTTCTCTTCATGATACCACGATAAGACGTTTTTGACGATGTAAAATATTCCGATTTGAAATATACATATGTACATATATACGCGTATATCTTTCATATGTATATCTCTTGAGACCGAGAGAGAAAGAGAGAGAGAGACTTAGAGGAAAATAAGAACAAATACTTGTAGTTTTTGGTCGAGCATATCTCGTTGAAACAAATCTCTCGTATAACGTCCTCTCGCACGAACGTTTTTCAAAGTAGGCCCTTGGTGCATATATATATATGGATACAGACTTAAATATTTCGCTTCTTTCTTCCTCAACCATAGATAAATAATTTTGTATGTAAATATAAAGAAGCCAAGATACATAATATACTTATAATAATTTGTCTTTAATATTCACAGTTCGAGTTGAAATTTGATAAAAACATTTGATAAAAATACGATGGAAAAAGTTTACTTCGTATTTGATATCGATATTAAAAAATGTGTTATATATAAATTTCTCTATTCTCTTGGTATATCTTTAATTGAAAGTAAATGGAAAAAAATAAGTAAAGAGTACTTTAATAAAAGCAACGATTTGCTGTTTTAAACTGGTGTAAAAAAGTTGTCGATGAAGCGAAGAGTAGACACATCCATTTATTAAGTCGCAAATGTCTTCACGCGAATGACGTTCGTCATTCGAAACTCGAACTGTTTAAGCCTCGTCGATGTCGCATCGGTTTTCTCGCGTGACGAAACTTTAGAGGAGCAATCTAAAGTTTCCGTCTGCTTCCGCCATTTCGTATGATCTCTCCGTGACTGCAATTTCTATTTCACGCTTCGCCGTAGAAACAACGGGTCGCTATTAATTTTCCTCTCTGCTTTCACGTTACTATATATATATATATATGTTACCTACATACATTAGTGTCCGCTTTCCCGCTTCTTAACAAATAAATATTATATTTATGATAATTTCGAATCTCAGAATTAATCGAACATACTTGGAAAATAATACAATATTACTTGTAAGAGCAACAAAGTGTTATTTTGTTATGTAGTGTTGTTATCTACATAAAAAAAGAAATAAAAAAAAGGGTACACGCTTAAGCGTGTCTCGAATACTCATGTCGATAGTTATAAGACGATGGCAAAAGGGAAGTTTAGCGTTAAGGGAAACGTTAAGAAGATTAAGAAACTTTCTACTCCATAGTTCGTAGTCTTCCAGAAGAAAGACAAACACGAAGGAGCAAAGAAAACGATAAGATCCCTACCCTCTTTATTCACTCTGAGCTTTAAGCGAAGGCATCGCGAGAAACAAATTAATTTCCGCTTACCTCGAGACATTTTCACCCTTGTTAATTACGAGCCTCGTCTATCTCACAATCCCACACAATTCTATAGAAACCCTGACGCGACCCTGACGCACCTCAAATTTCGATATCGATCCTATTTTCGTTTCACAATGTTAAACGCCATTCATTTTTCACGAACGCAATAATACTAACGCTAAAAATGTTTACTCAGTGTGTAATTTATCAAATGAAATATGTAATTAACAATTATTCAAAGTTTAATGGCACATCAAGTGGTGGTATTTGTTACCGAGTAAATGCTATTAAAGATTCATTTTGCAGTAGTATGAATTAAAGTTGGACAGGTAATATAAAACCCTTTAAAAAGAAGCAGCTATATTGAAATAAATTTATTGCTGGAAAAATTGGAAAAGTTACGAAACTATTACCCATAATATTTCAATCCATTATTGTATTATTTCCAATATTATTCGCCATCCTGAATAACAATATAAATATAAAATATACGTTTTATCATATTCTTTCAGAAAAATAAATTAATATCCTTTTATGGGTGTGATTGATTAAAATTATAATTAAGATATAATTTACCACAAGTGGAATCTAAATAACTATTTATGTAATAACTTGGACGGTCCACGGGGAATCGTAGGAAAGGATTGGTCACAAAAAACTAACGGAAAAAGTAAGACGATAGGGAGGAACTCGTTCGCGATATGAGGTTGGTTCCAACGGAATGAAGAAAAAATATATATATATATATCCACGAGATAAATCTTGGATGATCCCAAGAGAGGTAAAAGTCTGTGGACCGGCTAACTTCGGCTGGGATTAAGTTCCGTAATGCTAAGATGGTTCCACTGGTGCAACAAATGAACGTAATCCTGTTACAGGGCGATATAAAACCTCGTAAGGTTTCGTCGTCCTCGACTAAACCGTACTAATCCACTGCTTCTTCTTCTTCTTTCTTTTACTACCCTTTTACATCTACAAAACGGCTTTTAAATTTGATCAGGTATATCCGAAAGAAGATATTTCGAAAACTTTTTGACGTGTTTCAACTATTTCATTAGGAAACGTGACAGTAAAAATATATAAAAAAAAAAAAAAATCTTCGAGGAGACTAATCAATTCGTATTTTGAAGAGTAGAAAATAGGTGGAGGGGGTCCTCTCTCTTTGTGCGAAATTTTGCAAATAGCATTCTCGCGAGAGGAATCACGATCGTATCCATCAAGGCCGAGCATATCTCTGAAAAACACTCGGCTACGTAAGTCGCGGACCGATCTATCAATTTACTTGCGTAGAATGCCAAAGGAAGAAATGAGAAAGAAGAAAAGGAAGAGAGAAAAAAGGGTGTCCCGTTTTCCGAGATATTCCCATGAGACAAGTGAAGAGGAACTTGGGGGATGGGTACCGAAGACCCTACACCAACCAGGCTATAGGAAGATGGGTTATGTGTACCTCTCCAAGGCGAGAGTTCAGTGGTCGGACTAGACCGACTCCTGCTAAGTAGAAAATCGTGTCTGGCATATGAACAGACGGGCGGATGGGTGTTAGGACGGGTCTTCGACCATCGTTGTTGGTCGCTGCAGAAGACCGCTAATGTTGCTTTGGGTGTGCCAGTGGAACGTCCATAAACGCATTACTCCTCTCGAATTTCATCGAGTAAACCTCTCTCCAACCGTAACATCGATTACTAAATCTTCTAAACAAAATAAATATACTTTTCATCACCGATTTTTCATTAAACGCGTATAATCGATTTTCTATTATAGCGTTATTATTCCTTCGTTCAGGAATAAAGTATATTTTCGAATACAACTTTGTTCGCTATTTTTTTTTCATGATAAATATCATAATAAAAGTTCAATTAGAAGAATTAGTAAGAATAATATGATAAATAAAATAATCATGCGAGTTAACTCGTTAACTATGAATTATAATATTATTAAAAAAGAACTTGCTACGTAGCATGGTAGCATATCGCATATACACGTAAAATATCATTTATCGAACTGAAAAAAAAAATAAAAAACAAAAAACAGAGTTTACCAAAATTCGTAATACTTTGTAGAATACATTTTAGAAAAAAAATTTGAAATGGTTTTGAGATCGGTTACGCACGACGAGTGTGCTTTTTGCGACCGAGCGCGCGTCCAAAAAAAATAAAAAAAGAAAAAAGAATAACAAGAGGAGAAAAAAGAATGATGACGAATAAATAAACAAATACAAATAGATAGAACGAGAGAGGAGGACGAGAGAAGAGTACTTTCACGTTAACGAGAATCTGAGCGAACGCGTACGATGCGTCACCGGTGTGTTGGCGAACGGAACGTTTGATCTCTTCACCCCCTTTACCCTCGTGCACCAACTCGT